AGTGCTGAAAGGGGCTTGAATCTCTTAGAGATCCAAGCCCCGTTCAACCTTCTCCCCCCCCCAAGCCCACCAGAGCTGCTGGCAAGGCTGAAAGGGGCTTGGATCTAAGAGATCCAAGCCCCGTTCAGCCTTCCAATGGGCTCCCGTGGGCTTGGGAGGGGGAGGGAGAAGGCTGAACGGGGCTTGGATCTCCAAGCCCCGTTCAGCCTTCCCATGACTTCTTTTTTTCAGTATTCGCTCCATAAGACGCACACACTTCCCCCCCACTTTTTTTTGGGGGGGAGTGCATCTTATGGACCGAAAAATACGGTATACTGTTGTTGAATAAAAATCCAATCTGTATTTTGTGCATCATGTAACATTTTTACTATGTTGGCTATGTGACAGGCCTGATAATATTTAACAATATCTGGAAATCCAAGACCACACATAGTAGGATGTCTACAGAGGGTTGTTGAGTTGACTCTATGCCTTTTATATGCCCCCAAAAATCTAAAGAGCATATGCTGCCATTTGTTTAGTTGACTTATAGAGATTTTAATTGGTAAGGCCCGAAATAAAAAAAAGGATTTTTGGAAGCACATAGGTCTTTATGATACTTAATCTATCGTGCCAAGATATTTTCAGTTTGTGTCAACTCTCAAATTGTTTCTGGATGTCTTTAAAAAAATTGACATCGTACTTTTGGTAGCTTTTGAGATCCAGAGGGATTTTAATACCAAGTATTTGCAACCCAATTATACGGAGTGAGTCTCTTAAGGAGTTCTACTAATGGAGTATCTATATTGACAGGAAATATATATGACTTTGTTGCATTAATTTTTAACCCAGATACCAGACTAAATTCAGTTAAAACAGAATGAATATTTGGAACAGAAATTAACGGGTGCATAAGAGATATCATAATATCATCAGCAAATAATGAGAGTTTAAATTCTCGTCCTTGCAAAGAAATACCATGTATACCAGAATGTGATCTAATTTTGGTTGCCAACGGGATTACAATTACTAATAAGTGTAGTTCTCTTTTTGAAGACAACTACAAAGTATTATGGGGAAAAACTAAACAAGATCTAGATGGTTGAAAAATTTTACAATTATCCATGATGGGAAGAACTGCAATAATAAAAACGAATATATTACCCAGATGGGATGTTTCTTTTTCAAACAATCCCCATTTTACAAAACCAAAAGAGTTTTAAGGAGCTAGATCAACTAACATCCAAATTTATCTGGGAAGGGAAGTGAGCATGAATAAGACTTAAAATTATGCAAGAAGTTAAAGAGAAAGGTGGATTTGGAGTTCCAAATTGGCTATTATATTATAAGGCCGCAGCATTAGTATGGCTAAAGGAATGGATTACTTTGGAAGACAGAAGGTTACTGAAACTCGAAGGCCACGATTTAGCTTTAGGATGGAATGCATTTTTATGGTATGAGAAAGCCACAACACAGAAATACTTTAAGCAGCACTGGCTAAGAGCGGCTTTATTAAAAGTATGGGACACAATTTATAGAAGGTTTTATATTAAAAAATCTAGACTCATAGTACCACTGAAAGCATTTACCTTGCCAAATGTCTTAACAGGTGAAGAGCTATTTAGATATCAAGATATTTTGGATGAGAAAGATTGCTTGAAATTGCCAGAATACTTGTCTTGGTGGAATAAAACGCAATTAGAATCTATCTATAATAAAGATAAAAAGACTGGTTTTAATGACAAACTAACTG